AGTGACGAAGGCGGCAGAATCGCAATCAGGATGTTCTTATGTCACATTCTCATAAGAAAACAATAAAACGTATCAGTTTCAGGGGGAGGGGGATTGTGTTGGTGATGGGGGTTGACACTTTTTCTCTCTCAATTTGAATTGCATGGCTCCTTAGCTGGCTCTCCAGACTACTGCCAAGTAAAATGAATCTTGGTGCTTTGTCTGCACATATTTCTACCATTTGGGAGCTGTCACGTAGGACAGCTTGTGTGAGTGATGGAAGTGTAGGAATGAAATATGAGGCTGGGAGCTGAAGGACGGGGGAAGTGTGCATTCTCTCAAAATAATAATAAAGGGAGAGAAGGGAAATTGTCCACGCTGTCGATGGCCGGGGTTAATAGCTATACACTGACCTCTGTGGTCAAGGTTCCTTGGTGAGGAACGGTTCATTACCTGGCCGTGAGGATACTGTTTACCCACATTCCTCTAGTCATTTGGAGAGCAGTGTCTTTTTGTGTAAAGTCTTGCCACTATATCACTTTCCCCTTGATTGGGTCTGAGCATGTGTGTGCACTCCGATCACAGAAGATGGGGGGCAAATGGATGTCTGTGCCTGGAACCACAGCAACAGTAGCACCACTGGCTTCCAGAAGCTAGCTTAGCTTATAGGACGAATAGTACTAGTGCTAATATAAAAGGAGGTTTACCGATTTGAGTTGCTAATGCTATCCAGCAGTTATCTCTTGGCCGGTGGAACATGCTGGAACACGTCAACACACAAAGAGTGGTAATTAGTTTGGTGCCTGTTTGTAGGCCTGTGCTGCTGTATTAGCAAGTGGAGTGAGAGCAATACGTTTCCAGGCCTGTGGACAGCTCATTTCATGCTGCGTGCTATGGGTTTTATTACGTAGCAAGTGACCTACCTCCTATTTACTGGAAGAAGAAAGTCTCTCAGCCTTAAAGTGATACTATACCAAAATTCTGTCCTGTGTATCAATCATTCACTCCTTACAGGAATAACAAGGGGCTGTGGAAAGAGTGTTATAATTCTTGAGTGAGGGTGCAGCTATCTTGGATTTATCCAGATTACAATGGATTCCAATACTGACGAAAAGAAAACTCTCAGCTCATGGTCCACTTATTAGCTTTTTTCACAGCATCCCACAATCCTCCTCGGTGTATTGAGTTCCTCGGTTCTCAAAGAGAATCACATGACCTCAGAATGGAACTTCAGTTACATAGAAGCAGGTAGTCATATATTGGGTGAGATTAGATTATAAATTAGCTATAGAGACAAAAAGCATTTTTTGTACCAGGCTGTAAACATGTTTTATTTCTGCTGTAAAGTTGGACATTTTAACATGGAGCCTTAAGGGGAGTTGACTCACTTCTGGAGCCAGCCTCAAGTGGCCGTTAAAGGAATAGCGTTTTTTTTTTACTTGGCTTCATTTATCAGCCATGGAGGTTGCCGCTGGATTAAAACACAGAGAGGATGTTTGAGCCAAGGGTGCTTGGGTTGCTTGGGTTTGTCCGTTACCCTGACCCTGATCTTTTTCTGTAGCTGTATACGCTACTGTGTGTAATGTGTTTCAGTAATTTTCACCTATGTTAATACCTATATAATAGAGCCGCCAGTCACCCAGAATTTAACTGCAGTTACATATTTTAGTTTTACTGTCCACACTGATTGAAAAGGCTCACGTCTCATTTGCAGTGACATTGAGTCTCCACCTTCACTGAGTGCATTTCCATTCACCTGGTTGTATGTTAATTATTATAAACAAATATAAATACCATACATTTTACACATTCTTTTTGTGTTTGCAGTTTGACTGGAAGTCTTTTGATCGCAGTAATTTTGTGGCACCCTATTCTTCTGCAATAGTTCCATGGCACCAGACTGGAGCGTTAGCTCCACCAGCTGTCTTAATGAGCTACCTGCTAATATTCACATAGCAGTAGTATGGGAACATGTATTCATTTCATTTTTCTCTTTGCTTTTCAATTAGCCCTACATTTGGAGGGAAATTTGATCACTTATAATCCAGATGTGGTTCAGATAGTCTGAACTGCTTTTGCTGAACTGCTGAACTGGTCTGACAAAAAGACCAGAAAGGAGAACTCAGCAGCCAGGTAACTCCAAGGAATTAACAACTAAACCAACTATAATATGGCAAAAAAATGTGTGCTAATCTACAAAACAATGCACTGTCGTGATGTTAATACGCACATTCTGAACCAAACTTAACTGATTGTGTTTTATATAATTCTAAGTGACTCAAAAAAAAGTCACTGACCATGTAGTAATGATGTGGATGAATGAGAACCAAGGCAGCATTACGGGATTTTTTCCCTGTGAAATGGTATATAACCACTGTTGCAGTGAACGGTAGTTTAAATAATGTGACTGCACCTAAAATTTAGTAATTGAATGCTCTTTAAAGAAGGTGTTAGGTGTCAGATGTGAATGTCCACTGACTCCTGCTCAATGACCTTTGACTTTTTGTGGACACTGGGAGCCGTTTTAGTCTGGTGGAAATTAAAACTCTCACAAAGCAACCCAACAACAACCACTACTGTATAATGAGATTGACTTGTTGAATTGAAAAAAAGATGCCACATTAGAGGCTGTGTGATTTGATTATCCAGAGTAGTTTCTGTTCCTGAACTTTTTATATTTTATGCACCAGTGCACCAAGCCAAATTCCTTGTACGTGTAAAAACTTACTTGGCAATAAACCTAATTCTGATTCTGATTCTGATCTCAAACATTCTGCATTCATTGTAATGGCATTAGAAACAGCACTAAAGGCTTGATGTTTCAAGCCAAGGTAAACAACCTGCCCAGTCAATACCAACCCTGCATTGACCTGTGCCTGTTTTCCAATTTACTGTACTGGACTGTATTATCTGCTAAATCAGGTCTGATAACTGCACAGCACATGTTCTGTCAATGAGAACAGAGCTGCTGTAATGGAGGAAAAAGGACACAGGTGCAAATTTTTCTCAAAACAAAGTAATAATTACATCTGCAAGCAGTGATGATCAGACCCACACTGTGAAAATTCCTTGTGAATCACATCACGATTGCCATAAAAGGCTTACTTCCTGTCCAGTAGGGGGTGCTATGAGTATGACTGAATACTTGTATGTAGATGTGTTCAGGGCGCTCTTATCAGACATGTACATTTTGTGGGAATATTGGACAAAGTACACTGAAGTTAAGACAACTTTCTATTTCATGGTGAAATTCTGAAATGTAGGTGTCACAAAGAGCGCAACTTTTAATTGTGAAGTGCACTGACCAAATTTGAAGTCGATCTGATCAAGTCTCTAGGAGGAGTTATTGTGTTTTTTTGTTTTTTTTGCATTGTTTGATTGGAAAGGTTGATGATGCAATTACTATCAGGTTTTAAAAAACAACCAAAAGTGAAAACAGCAGAAAAATACAGAGAATTGTAATGAGTTGTATTAGTCTCAGATGGGGAATTTTGTTTTCCAGATCCTAGCATGCATTTGGTGGGTTGAATCAGAGTAGAAAGGTTCGTAGCAGGTAATGTCACCCACCCCTAACTGCCTGATCCAGCCTCATCCTCCACCCCAGCAGACTTACCGTGCCTCCAGCTTGTGTTCATTGCCAAGAGCCCAGTGATATTTTACATTTTCATGCCTAATTTAAATGTACATCATTACAGTCATATAGACTGTTCTCTGGGCAGCAGCTGTGAAAAGATTTCAACCACAATAAAAATGTAGTTTAGTCATAACCACTGAAGACCCCAAAAACTCAATAGCCTCTTATCCACAATTGAGCTCAAGACGTGAGTGCCAAAGCATGCTGATACTTTTCACACATCAACTCCCAGATGGCTGGCGATATTCAGTGGAGCTGTCTTATTGGTTGTGTCCTCCTGGTGACTCTGTAAATTTTTTTAAGTTGAATGCAGCTCTGGTAACAGACTTTCTATTATAATGTGTGAAGCAAACAGAGTGCATATGACATATTACAAAAGTTAGGAGAAAAAAATTAGAGCCCAACCACTATGGGACATTTGGGAAAGAGAGTTACAGGGGAAAAATTCACAGATGCAAAGAAACTCAGAAGGCTGCTTCATTCAGAGTTATTTGGACACTATTAAAACTTGTAGTTCTGTGTTTTGTTACATAAGAATATGTCACAGTCTGCCTTCCTCCTCATCTGTTCGTTTCAGCCATCTCAGTACTTTTCCACACCCTGCTCCATTCTGCCAGTCAGCCATGCCTCCTCATCAGCCACTCTACTCACCTGTGCACACAAGCTGCTCCTGATCACCAATCAAGCCAGTATATATATACACTACTCCTCACCAGTCACTCGTTGCCAGATTGTCCTTTGTATTCATGCAAGACCCTCCAGTGTTGTTCGGACGGATCTCATGGTTTTGACCTTGCGTGCTTCTGACCGTCTAGACTGGTCTCTTCCCCGGATATCACCTCAGCCTTCTGTCCCCGACCACAAGCTTGGTTTGATGAGAATGTTGTGTTTTTCTTTTAAACTGACTAAATTTTGCTGCCACAGTATTGTAACTCACAGTATTGTAACTCACAGTGCACACTTCTGGATAGACATTGCAGTAACACAAGTATATTACCATAGCGTTTATTCCTGCTTCACATACCAGAAATACATATACGCTGATACTGATAATATACTGATATGTTGGCCAACTGATACAGTGGCTGAGTGACAGTGTTTGAGAGGCATGTCCTTCAGGTCAAAATGTCAACTTTGCACACAAAATTAGTCAACTTGCAATTTCCTTTGCTGAATGTTCCCCATGGTATGAGCAATTTCAATCTCCGATGACCCTATGACCTTTTATTCTAGCACCACTCCAGGTACAAACATTACAGCGAAGGCTCTGAGAATAGCAAAGTCATCAGTGTGCTTTATGCTCCCTGGGGTTTAATGAGCACTGCAGCCTCTAGGGACCACTAAGCCTTACAATGTGGACATTTAGTCCTGTTTAAATTAAAGTCAGAGCTGTTTCAGTCTGTTGCATTAGCAGTGGTTGGCTTAAAGGACAGCGCTGACATTAGCCAGCAACGGGACATGATCCTTCTCTCAACAGACCATTCACTGATGATGACATCACGCTGCTGTTTTTCTCTTCGATCCCTGGAGATGTGATAAACGCTAGCATGTGCTGGCTGTGTGCTTGTTACCAGTAAGTAAGTTGTATTGTTTAGTATCAGTGATAGAAAAGAGAAACACTTCTGTTTTTGTAATTCCTTGAATGTGTTCAGCTTGTCGGATTCCAGGAAGTATATACAGTATTTGCACTGATTGTTTCAGATTCATGTGTTTTGTAAAAAAAAGTAGTGTGCTGAATCACCCTTATACTCTCAAAATCTAAAATGTATGTCTAAATATGGGAGATTTATCTTTATGTGCTTACTTGTGGTTGGCTTTGTTTTGGTACCAAACCCTATCATGACGTTATTGGTTGGTTGCTTGGCAGAGTCCTGCATGGGTCCAGTTTTGCAAACCTGTACCCACAAAGCTAAGAACTGGAACCGACCCGTTACCCGCAATTATCTCAGTCCAATCCAGATCTGACCCGTCCCATGCTACAAATGGCCGCGTACTGGATAGACTTTGCAGTGACACCAGTATGTTACCATAAGCATTTTTTTTCTGCATTATTCACCAGAAAAAACTGTTTTCATATCTGTTCAGATACCGAGGATTTGAGACACTTTGACAAGGGCCAAATTGTGATGGCTAGACGAGCATCTCCAAACCTGCAGCTCTTGTGGGGTGTTCCCGGTCTGCAGTGGTCAGTACCTATCAAGTGGTCCAAGGAAGGAAAAAGGGGTGAACTGGAGACAGGGTCATGGATGGTCAAGGCTCATAATATCATTGACAGCTGTTTTTATTTTATTGGCAGGCAACATGTGCAACTTATTTCCCATCTAGCCACACTGTCTTTACCAGGTTGACTAATTTCAAACATTGTCTGTACAAAAACAGAATAAGAAACCGTAGGCTGTGAGCTGTGTACAGGAAGAAAATTGCATTTTTTATCTATTGATTGACTGATTCTCCAGTCCACAGAAACCAGACAACTCAGTGACAATGAGAGCCTTTAATAATATAGTTAGTAAGTTGGTCACATATAGACAGCAGGAGGTTTCTGTGCATCTTGTGGAGATTCTACTTCAGTAGAGGAAAAAAAGCTTGACTCCAACAATTATACAACACACGTGTCGCACAGTAAGGCCAGTGTGGATGTAAAAAGTCTAAATGTTTGGTGTGGTGATGAATTCTGGCCCTTTTTAGTGGTCCAGATCTTTTGGCTCAGCTCAGCAATAAGGGCTCTTTCAGCTCCCAAATGGCCCTTCATTTAGTACAACTTCTGGCTTTTATAATTCAGCCAAATTTAGCAATTATTTTGACCTTTCATTGGTATGTGTGCTCATATCACTTAAATTATGTGCAATGTAATTAATAAGCCGTCATTAATCATTTCCAGAATACCATAACTATACATTATGTTTGGTATAAGATGTGTATCGAACATTTTATTTATATTTGAACTTTTGTGGATCTTAATGTTATTTCCAAAGTAGACGGATTTAACAAAGTACTGTACGTCATAGGATAATGGCCAGTGTACTTTGGTTCTCTCATTTTAAAACAAAAATCCTTTGGCCGCAAATTTGGGAAAAGACTAATTTTCCATTTTTTTTGTTGTGAAAATAAAAACATCAAAAAGACCCATTTTGTTCCCCATATTTATACACTGATCAGCTATAACATTCTGGGCACTGACCGATAAAGTGAATAACACTGATTATCTGGTTATCACGGCACCTGTCAGTGGGTGGGATATGTTGGGCAGCAAGTGAACATTTTGTTCTCAAAGTTGATGTTAGAAGCAGGAAAAATTGGCAGCGTGAGGATTTGAGCGACTTTGACAAGGGCCAAAGTGTGATGTTAAGACGACTGGGTCAGAGCATCTCCAAAACTGCAGCTCTTGTGGGGTGTTCCCGGTTGGCAGTGGCCCGTGTGGTCTGATCCAACAGATGAGCTACTGTAGCTCAAAAAGTTATTGCTGGTTCTGATAGAAAGATGTCAGAACACACAGTGCATCACAGTTTGTTGGTATGTGGCTGCAGAACATTGTGACCACCAGGGTGATCTGTGTAAATAGTCGGGAAACGGCTGTTTTCCCAATTTTGGTTTTCTCATTTCAAAAAAGAATATCTGTTGGTCGCCAACAAGTAAGACTGATCATCCTAACATTCTATTTTGTATTAATTTATTAGAAAAAGAGAAACAAAATCGACTCTCAGACCGGAGCCGGCTCCCATCGTTCACTGAAAGAAGCCAACTCCTTCCCATCACTAGTTCCGTGAGACTGATGAGTAGGGTGGCCATTTCCTTCACATCAAAAAGGAGGACACTTTGCATACACAGGGACATGCAAGCAGATATTTGTTTGGTATGATCCGGTTTTAAATTTTAATATTTTTCCACCAGATTACATAAAGGTGCATACACATACCACATAGCTAATAATAAATATACAAGATACAGCTCATGACAACGTGCCCTTCCAATTCAGATTACATAGGTCTAATAAACATCATACAGAAACTGTTTTTATCCGGATAGATAAAGGGTAAAACAAATGCAGCACCTTCTGTTTCAGATGTATAGGCTTTGCCTATCTACATCTAAGTATGAGCATTTTTTAGAATTTCAGTCCAACAACCAACGTTAGCTCACGTTAGTTCTCTGTCGTTGAGAGCTTGATTGACAGCCTGGTGGTAGCCATGTGTTGATAGGTCGCGACACGAAAATGTAACCAATGAAATTACTTATTTTGAAAAGGCTTTTTAGCCAATAAGTATTGAACTAACGAGGTAATGTGTCAAAAGGCGGGCCTTTTTAGTTTTTTTCTCAGAAGGAGGACAAATGAGTGTCCGGCTTAAGGCTGCGCCTGCAGCTGGACAGGGCATTTAAAAGCCGGACTGTCCGGCCTAAAGCTGGATGAATGGCCACCCTACTGATGAGTGATGAATGAAAGGCTTTAGCTTAGGAATAAATGTAAATTTACATAGAATGTATGCTGGTACACTGTACATGTCTTTATAGAAATATGACCCAGGGCTGGTTAATCAAGCCTCAGAGCTGAGAACAAAGCAGAGAGAGTCAACAAAAAGAGGTTGTTATACTGATCATCAAGCCAGTATTAAACACATTTCCATGGAGTGCAGCTGTGTGATGATTTAATCCCCCTCCACGTCCAGTGCTCGTGATTTGCAGCCCTCTGCACTGTCGGTGTGTGTCGATGGTGTGTGTCAGAAAGTCCTGAGATTTAATAAACAACTCATTGGGTTTCATTCCCCTGTCTGGGCTCATGCTGATGAGAACCCTCCAGGACTACATTAAACCTCCCCCATCAATTTCATCTCCCCCAGTCTATTCACATGAGGGAAGTGATGAGAGATGATCACAGCATCAGCCCTGCAGTCACGGACAACTCCATGCTGCCTTCAGAGCTGAGGGATTACTGTGGCTGCATTGCAAATTACTAAGCAGGCAATGCTAAAAAAAAGAGCACAATGGTAAAAACAGTCTATAGCAAGATGCCAGAGTAAAAACATGTTACATTGAACAGTGAGTGATTGAAGGAGGGATGGGCAGTCTTCCATTACTGAGTAAAGCTGCCCAACAAAGTGATTTTTATTTTTTTTTTTATAATGTAAAATTTTGAAATTGTCAGTATTTGACAACCTTGGAATGAGACTAAACAATCAACTATCTTTCTTAGCTCTGATTAGTTGCTTTCGTTCAGGCCCAGTAGATTCTTCCAAATACCATAAGGAGGACTAGGAGGGGCCAGAAGAACCTGTTTTTTCCACAGATTTTGTCTCGTTTTTTACTGTCAGGATATAGTTAGAGTTTCAGCAAATATGACAACAAATTATTTATAGAAAAGTTACCTATTGTAGCTTTAAACCATGCAACACTATTATTTTGTGATTTCAACCTTGTCCCCTAAAAGTTTCCTTTGTAGTCTCTAACAACAGCTATTTTGTAAGAAATATAATTTTGTGTTTTCTAAGGACCTGATGAGGATGTTTTGGTTTTAATTAAGGTTGAGTGAGTACACTATTATCTGTACCTGTTGCCGTCTTTCACTAATCGGACAGCAGTAGTGCTCGGGGTTGCCCAGCCGACTCAATTGCGAGCAGGGCTCAGCTGTCAATCATGACGTGAAAACTAATTAAATCCAAACTGATCAGAAGAATTAACATTTTAAAACTTCCCAAAATGACAGAAACTATGTTTGGGGAAAAATATATTTGACCTGTATTTAGATTTTTTAGTTTAGCCCATCTGCTAACATGGACGCAGTGGGCTGTATGACCTATACTGCAGTCAGCCACCAGGGGGTGGGTTTTGGCTTCACTTTTCGCATTGTCCGTTTTTACATGTCGATGGACCAACTAAATATCTGTATATGTGTTTGTACTTGTACTGAGCAGGGCTTAAACCCAAAGCTTGAAATCAGTGCCTGAAATGGGCCAGTACTGATTTTTGTCCACACGAATACTCTTCCTTCCACTTCCTGGTTAGTCTAAGTGCACACCCCTAAACACCTGTTACATTGGATTTTTTTCTCCCACCGGCATTCATTGAAGACCCTCCCTACTCTGATTCTGATTGACTAGTGTTGTCTTCATTGGTTAGGTTTAGGCATGAGGAATGAGATGGTTTGGGTAAGAATTCGTTTTTTTAAATGCCTTGACAATGTCCTTGTTAAAATGGGGGAAAATGTGTTGTGATTAGGGTTATACTGCAGTTAGGGTTATGTTGTGGTTAGGGTTTTATTGGGTTAGGCTTGGGATTAGGTTTAGGGTTAGACAATGCATTTAAATTGTTTTCCTATAATATCTAGATGTGCCAACTAAAGCATGATTCATGTTTTTAGCCATACTAGCACCATGGCTAGGGATGGTCGGTCCACCGATTTGATCCAGACTGAAAAATTTCAACAACCATTTATTGGATTGCAGTGATTTGGTAGACCTTCATTTTCCCCTCACAATAAATTGTAATAACTTTGGAAATGCTTAAGTATTCATGTAGTGCTGCCATAAGCCACAGATTTTTAATTAGATTCATCTAAATTGATTAGACTGCTCACATCTAACTTTTACATCTGTTTGATTTTCCATCAAACCAGCGTTGGTGATTGTTGGAAAGATTAACAAAGATGTTTCTATTTTGTCTCTGTCCAGTTTAAAGTGTGATTTTAAAATTCTGATTTTGTCAATGGAGTATGTTTGCACTTATTTGTTTTGGTATGAGATTTTGGTTTTCTTGTGTGATCTAGTGGCAGTGAATTTCGTATGTAACATTTAAGTCCCTAACCATTTCAGTTGACATTGTGCAGTGGCGCATATTCCCAAACAAATTTGCAATAGCAGTGAATCAGGAACCTTTTGGTCCACGGAAGGTGAACGTTTCCACCCAAAATACTCTTTTAGTGCCAGGAACTACTTTTCAAGGAACTAGAAGATTGCTTTAGCACTTTGTTTGGTCTGAAGACCAGCGAAGATTAGGGAAATTAGTCTGCTGTTTTAACATATCATTTTAATGAGGTTGGATTGTCTATTGTATGCTTTCTTCTGTAACTCTATGTTGATGTGTCAAACCATGAACAGATTTTTTAATTAATCAATTTTAATTTTTTAATCTGAGTACTTGACCAATCGGAAATGTTAATTTAATTTTCGAAAACCCCTCATGCAGGGACTTTTTGGGGTGTAAAATAATGTCTGTGGAACTTTAATTTAGAGCCTGGTCCCTGCAGTGGAAACAAGCTGAGTTCCTCCAAAGGTGCCTTGTCCCTGGGGAAAGTTCCTACAATGGAAACGCAACTATATGTATACAAACTCCATTTCTCTTGTCCACGTTTGCCACATTTTATGACTCAAAACGTCTCATTTTTCTCACTTTGTCAATACTTTATTCTCCCTTCCTTTGCTTTCCCTCCATTCATCTTCACTTCAGATGCTGGCTTGCACCTGAGAGGCCCTCAACAAAGGAAAGCAATCTTCAGCAAGTGGAGGAGAGGGCACATGCTGATCACCATGGAGAGACGCTGAAGGAAGAAGGGGAGAAAGAGGTAATAGATTAAAAAGATAGAAATATTGCTTTTTCTTTTATATGAAAAAAGATGGGTAAGGGTATAGGTAAATGGAAATGCAAATAGCTTCCAGCAGGAAAATAAAGATTAAATTAATTAAAACAGTGGCTGATTGACTAGACAAAGTATCTTGTTCTGTACAGAAGCTGCTTTTATCCACCTCTCGTTACACCTCTTTGTTCAATCACAGCTCTTCTGCACCTCTATAAAAACAACAGATGGCTATGTAAAGAAGGTGATCTGATCCATCTACATCTCAGCAATTCATTTGAGGAGTATTATCAAAGCTGATAATTTTGTATTTGCATCTTTACTAAAGGAGCACTGTTCTGTACTGCCTTATCTTTGATTATCTCCAATTCTAGCATATTTTTAAGACAATACTATAATTACAGTTTTTCAACTGTAATTGTTTTCCCCAAAACAAGCATATAGAAGAGGTTTAAGTAGTTTTTTTCAACCATGTCTTTCTCTGTGTAAGGCCCCAGCTTGCTCCAACAATCTGATTCCAAATGTCTGGTCTTCCCTGCACTTATGTCAGACTTGCTCTCATGAACTGTACAGGTTTATACGCATGACATCTGGAGTGCCAAGGGGAAGGCACAATCTGAATATAGCTTAGTTTATTTTGAGAATATCTATTCTTACCAACGTTGGTGGCTTGGCCCTTGGATAGCAACATAGACCCCATGAAGACCTTGCATTAAAATGCGTTTTGGGTGATAAGATTGCAATCGGATAGAGTTTGTTCACCTCAAAGTACAGGTCTAAATGCACCCAAGACACAATCAAAAGATTGAGTACAGTAAGTATTTTTGGTGAACGTGAACTAATGCACTGTTGATTTAAACTCAATATAAACTTCTAAAATAACAGAGAAGTACACATTATGAAGAAAGGTAGCACAAGGAAACGGTGCCAGGCAGAACTTACACCAGTCAAACATAACATTATGACCACCTGGCTTGATGATCAGTATAACAACCTCTTTTTGTTGACTCTCTCTGCTTTGTTCTCAGCTCTGAGGCTTGATTAACCAGCCCTGGGTCATATTTCTATAAAGACATGTACAGTGTACCAGCATACATTCTATGTAAATTTACATTTATTCCTACACCAATGTTTCCATGTAACATAATTTCACCTATTTTGAATAATTTCAAATTTCAAATACCAAGCCAACTTTTATAACTTTTGTATGGTAAACATAACTAAAGCCTTTCGTTCATCAGTCATCAGTCTCACGGTACTAGTGATGTGAAGGAGTTGGCTTCTTACAGTGAACAATGGGAGCTGGCTCCTGTCTGAGAGCCGATTTCTTTTTTGATTTTTTTTCTAATAAATGAATACAAAATAGAATATTAGGATGATCAGTCTTACTTGTTGGTGGCCAACAGATATTCTTTTTTGAAATGAGAAAACCAAAATTGGAAAAACAGCCCAGACAGTTTCCCGACTAGCATTTACACAGATCACCCTGGTGGTCATAATGTTCTGCAGCCCCATACCAACAAACTGTGATGCACTGTTTGTTCTGACACCTTTCTATCAGAACCAGCATTTACTTTTTCAACATTTTGAGCTACAGTAGCTCGTCTGTTGGATCGGACAGGGCAGCCTTGGCTCCCTGTGTGCATCAGTGAGCCTTGACGCTGTCATTCACCGCCTTTTCCTTCCTTGGAGCACTTTTGATAGATACTGACCACTGCAGACCAGGAACACTCCACAAGAGCTGCAGTGGAGATGCTCTGATCTTTGCTATATTTAAAAGTACTAATATTGACTTTGATCATACTCTGATGATGCTCATACTTGTAGAAAGTACATTATCTGTATCGGATACTTGCGAAGTTGCTCAACCCTAATAGCTATAGAGCATAACACCAGTGCGGACACATGGCATCTCCGCAAAGAAAAATAAAGAAAATTAAAAACAAATACATAATACAGACAGAATTGTATAAAAAGTTGCTAAAATATCCGTCAAACTCATCGCTGATTCAATATTCACAGGAAACAATCTGCCCATAATTCATTTAAATCACTGGTTCTACGCAAACTACACTAAACTGCAGTGTTCACTGTTTGGGTTCATTATGCAGTTTATCAGTTGTTCTCTACTGTTATTTTTTTTGCATTGAATATAATATGAAATACTGATAAAATATGTCACTTACTCAGTTTACTAAATGATAGAAACCTTAAGGAATACGGTCAGAGTTACAAGATCAAGATCTTGACATTGCTACTGGTCAGTGACTGAGGTCTGATAGTCCTTGTTTGGCCAGTGGCTCAGCACCCTTGCATACTTGATGTGAAAACAGTGAGTACTTCAAACCCACGATGTCCTCAATGAAGATTGCACCCTTGTAAAAGAGTATTTAAAAAAAAAAAAACTTTTGAATCTTTAAATACAGCTAGTCAGTGCCAGATGCTGCTGCTCACTTGAAGAGGAACAAGGGTTGTGCATATTCCTATAAACCTCATCTCCTTTGTTCTTATTTACATCCTATTTCCTTGGCTGTTCTATCCTGTTTCCCATAGCTTGCTGTGGCAGCCCATTTTGCCCTGCAAGCATCAATATACAGTACTTCCACCAAATCTAATCAAATCTAATCAAATCAAATTGCAGTGACACTCTGGGTTTTTCCTGCTAACAGCATGATAAATTATTCACTGTGGTTGGGCTTCTCTGTTTATTTTCACAGGTAAAAAACTGCACTAACTGTAATCAATAAAGAAGCCATTTAATTGGCGGGGTCTGAGTTCATTCAGCTTCCTGCTAGAGAGCCGTAGGAGGGGACGAGTCAAACGACACCATTTAAGTTCTACCAATAGTGTGTGTATCTCTGTTTGTGCTTTTGCTCTTGAAAGAACAATTTTGAGTATTAAAGCTTGAAAGCAAGCTTTTTGGTTTTTCAAAGTTTATTTAAAGCTGCAGTAGGTAACATTTGTCATATTTGCTGAAACTTTCACTATATCCTGACAGTAGTACATGAGACAGATCATCTGTAAAAAAAAAAAAAAAAAAAAATCTGGTTCCTCTGGCTCCTCCTAGTGCTCCTAATGGAATTTGCAAGAATCCAGGCCTGAACAAAAACAACCACTGTCTTTCAGTAATATGTTTGAAGACATGAAAACAAGATAAAAATATTTTGATAAAGCCTTCATTTTTGACAAATTATGTCCCACGGTCCACATGCAGCACCACCTAAAAGCTGCAGTAGGTAATTTAATTTTTTTTTTTTTAATGAAAAAAAAACCAATCAGAGCCAAAAAAGATAGCTGATTGTTTTGAGACTTTTTATATCTTTCTCTGCTCTGATTGGTTGTTTTTGCTCAGGCCCAGTGGATTCTTGCAAATGCCATTGGGAGCACTAGGAGGAGCCAGAGGAACCTGATTTTTTTCACAAATTATCTGTCTCATGTACTACTGTCAGGATATAGTGAAAGTTTCAGCAAATATGACAAAGTATTTATTTATTTTTTAATAAAAATCGCTTTAAATGGGATAAAACTAGGACTGAGTCAGTTCCTTACCATTACATCCTAAAATTTAGGGTATAGTGCTGATGGAAGGTTAGTCCTAACAAGTACAGTAAGACAAGTGTATGTATGTATACTTCAGTGCTGTGACAGTTGTGGACTGGTCTGAGCACATCCGTCAGTGCAGTTTCCTCACCGACTCTGTCACAGTCCAGAAATTACCCAGCAGTCCCTGCCCGCCCAGCACTGTGGGTTTACATTACCACACAGAAGCAGCAAATCAATCACAGCACTACATTCTCTGCACCACCACAAGAAAGACTGGAGCTCCATTCAGCTACTTTGGGAGGCTTCAGTAGATGTTTGCAGACACAAGTGATATTAATAGATATGAATGTCACATCAATGCACTGATTACCATGGTAACCATCTTAATTCAGTGTGAACCTGTCTGCGTTTAAAGTGCCTTTTCATATTTTCTTTTTCATTAAAAATGCTCTTGCAGTTTTCTCAATAACAAAATACCAAAGACTCGGTTGTTTTAAATTGATTTTCACTTGGGTTTTATGCCCCCACACTTTCAAAAGATTTTTTGCTACAAAAGAGTCATCACAAATTATAGTACATAAATTGCTCTGATGTGATAGGAAAAAGGACTGAATTTTTCAAACTAAATAAAAAATTTTAAAAAGTAGGTGTTGTTGAAATTGAACACTGAGTTTCTACTTGGAAAGTATAGAATAGGGATATGTTCTTTTTATTCCCACTGGTATTCTATATACTCACCCTTCTCTGCCTGTGATTTACTAACCCTAACCAACCAAACACTGAAGGCAACCAACAGTTGAGAGAAATGAATAAAACAGTGATCATTTTATAAAAATGACCTACTGCAGCTTTAACGCTGTGCTTCATGTCATTTTCACTCAGAATATGTAGCCATGTGCGCCCACCCCAAACTTCCCCCCCCCCAATCTCCCCCCATAATCATCTCCCCCCCAAAAAAAAAAAAAAAAAAATAAAAAAAAAAAGTTTTTAAAGTAAAAAGTATATAAATAAAAAAATATTAATCTAAGTTAAATATCTTGTCTCAATAAGTTGACTGGACATTAACAGTTCTTGCCTCCAGTATTTGCATTTTCAGAGAAAGCTTTCATATATGGTTTGGTAGATCAACGCATAAACTAAGGGATAACACAAGACACAAAATATTACCTTTCGGGACTTAATGGCTCTGTAATGAACAGTTCTGCAAATGCCTCACCATTTATTTGAACTTTGCAGTCAGTAAATTATCTTGTCTGTCTGTAGTCATTTGGTTTCCTGAATCTCAGTAATAAATAAGATGCAGGTCATGATTCAGACCCCGTGGAGTAAATGCCTTCAGAAGTATCCTCACTGCCACACAGTCTATCCCCATCAGGCATGGCAAGGAGAGGTCAGAAAAGAAATCTTGCAGCCTGCCAAAGTTTGCGCTGTGACTCAGCTGAGCTCCACTGTCTGCTCAGTGCTGCCAGCTGAACCCAAAAGCCCAGACACAGAGGCAAGAAAGCCACTTCCCGATGCATCTTTTGTCTCAGTAACAGTGCTATGGAAAGTATCTTAAATCACATGTAACTCCATAGGTGTTCATTTCAAAAAGCTTTATTTGCAACTACATTGCCATTGTCTATACTGTAAAGTGGATCAGATGTTGTTGTGTGTATTTCAGGCAAACAGTTCCTTATCATCAACTGCTGGTGGTTTTGCTAGTTTGATACACTTATTTTCAACTGAGCTTGTCTTCGCCAGAAGATGGAGTTTGCGCAATTATCATGGAACTGCAGCTGCGTTTTGTGGACTATCTGGGTCCTCATTCGCTCCCACAAAGTGGTCGCTGCTCTTCCTAGGCTCCACACTAAAACAATTTGGACGCCTTTGCAGGGACCTTTGACTTTTGCCATTATTATACACCAAATTAAATATAATTAAAAAAATCCTTTCTGTTTTTAATTTAATTTTATATATTGTAATTGTATTGAATTGATATAAAACAATTAGAAAAAAAATTAAACAATATCATCAGGCAGGCAGTTTGAGATCCCTGGTGTACTATTTAGTGGCATCTAGCCTTGAAGTTGTATACTGCAACCAACTCCCCTCACCCTCCCCTTCCAAGCATTTAAGAGAAGCTATGGTGGCTACGAAAACATGAACGAACCTATCTACAATCAGCGTTTTGGTTTGTCCATTCTGAGCTACTGTAGCAACAGGGGGGTTACAAAAGGTAACAAAAGCAGAACAATTCTTATTTTCAGGTGATTATATGAAAACATGCCTATGAATATATTCCATTTCTGACAAACGAGACTCTTAAATGTTACACATTGGACCTTTGAAAGCTGTGAAGTGCTGTCTGGTTATCAGCTGATAGAGATTCAACGTGATACCTTCCCCCTCACATGCCTTATTTAACTGCTACATAAGTGGCACACTAGCAGGACCAAATGGAGTGCTGCTATTATTAAACCAGGACTACAATACTTACCTAACTGTAAAGGTCCAGTGTGTAACATTTAGGAAGCTCTGTTGGCAGAAATGTTAATATAATATTTATAGGTATGTTTTCATTAGTGCATAAGTCTACCATGTTAAACCGCTATGTTTCTACAGTAGCCCAGAATGGACCAGCCAAACACTGGTTCCAGATAGGGCATGTTTCACAGCCACCCTAGTTTCTCATCCCACTTAATCCTACACACTGGAGTTTAATAAAAAAAAAAATGCAGTTATTAATATATAAATGCTGGCCACCTGCCATTATTTGAATGTGTGCCTTTATATAACATTTTACTATACTTCCCTCTGACAGTGCATCCCAGCATGCTGACCTGAACACCTTATTTCGTATGACTTTCAGAGCCATACTGTTGATTTAATGCTTCTGATTTGGGCTTGTTTTGGTTGAATCCTTATACTGAACTTAACTTTCCTTATGAGCTACACTTCCACTCCTTTAACCAAATTTTCCCTCTACACTGGATAGGCTGGCAGTATCCTCAGAAGGGTTAAAAGCTTCTTATTTTTAATAGAGCAACACCTGCGAGGGGCTGAGCGAGTAATAAGAGTCTTGAAATAAATTAGCCGGGCCTTATTGAGATCTGCCACCGCTAAAACAATGGCTCCACTATGCCTCCAGAGTTCCCGCAGTGCTGGGCCGTTCCAGCACATGTCCAAATCTGATGCTTTCACTTCCTCAATTTCTCCTGCCGACAGGCCCCCGCTACCTCCATCTCACACTTAATTACCATTTCATTTTTCATTTGCGTCCAGAGCTAGCCCCCAAGGCCCCACAGTCCACAGCCCCCCTCTCCAGATGATGGAGGGGAAAAAAACAATCAATGGGAGCTGAACCCAAGTCATAAAATGAATGCTAATGACCTGAGTCTGTATTACCTCTGGAACAGTGAAATTATAATGTGGGAATTAGAGTGGCTTTTAAAGCTAAGAATGCCCCAGCCCCACTCGAAAGAGGAGCTGACTTCTTGTTCCTATAATCAGAAAGACTCTAGCAGACTCTAGAATGTGAAAAGAATTTAGCTTTCACTCTACAGTCTTCACCGAACAATTTGATTTTAATTTTCATAAATGATGACAAACCAACTTCCAGAGCTGTGGTCTCGATGTTATTCTGCTGTGTGCTCATTCTAAACGTTGAAATCCTGGATTAGGGAGAATATTGTTTCTAATCCATCCTTCAAATCTTTTATGTGTCAACCCTAACCATTTTGTGAGGTTGAACCTGTATGCTTGACACATTTATTTTAACTGAAAATTATGTAAACCTATTTTTAGAATTAGATTCCTGACATAATGAATATCAATCAAACCTAGGTTAATAAACACTGCTGTAATGCTTGCTGTATCGATTGCAAATTATATAATCTATGGCTTCCTAGCGACAATCTACCACGATTGGGTTAGCTGATAATTTACAGATCAAGTGAGTAAGAGTTCCTATTGTATATAATGGACAGAGCTTCCAGGTCTGTAAGGTGAAGCCAATGTGCAAGTGTCTTAAACCTTAAATTCTATGTAATGGCCAATAGGGGGCAGCTCCAGGTTACAGTCTTAAGCAGAAATGACCCTACTTTTCACTGCGTTCAATTCAATTTTTTTAAAAAAGGCAGAAATCTAGGAGACAGACAGACAGACAGACAATGTATAAATAAAGTTTTGACAGAAGCAATGCAAGGAAGCACACTACTTGTCTCATAATTTACATTTTA